GAGAAGGAGAATATTCTTTCGGTGTTGGTTTTTTGGACAATACGAATCGTTGAGGAGATTTGAATAAAAGCATATTCGGATTACCCTCAGAAGTTTTGGAAAATCAACATTCATATAAAATCACTTGATCAGTAGTTTTGATCACGTTACATTCATATACAATCTTACATTTGTCCTCGAATCAATATCAGAAAAATGGCTCCTTCAGCAATCAGCACGGGTAACTCGCCCGAGGGACTTCGTCCAGTTGCCATCAATGGCGAGAAACTCATGTCTTCTCTGAAGATGAACAACCTCTCCCTCTCCCCAGAAGAATCTCTTACCAGCAACTCCTCAACCGAAATTCTCGACTTAATCTGTGTCGGATTCGGTCCAGCCTCCCTCGCCATTGCCATCGCTCTCCACGACGCTTACTCCAAATCCTCATTACCCCCACCAAAGGTTCTTTTCCTCGAGAAGCAATCTGAGTTTGCATGGCACGCCGGTATGCAAATTCCCGGTGCTCGCATGCAAATCTCCTTCTTGAAAGATTTGGCTACACCCCGCGATCCCCGATCCAAGTTTACCTTTATCAACTATTTGCATTCCAAGGGACGCTTGAATACCTTTATCAATTTGAGCACTTTCTTACCTTCTCGTATGGAATACGAGGATTACTTGCGTTGGTGCGCTAGTCATTTTGAGAAGCAGGGTTGTGTGAAATATGGTGCAAATGTAGAGTCAGTTGTTCCTTCGTCGCCTTCGGCTGAAGATGGAAAGATCCCTGGCTTTACTATTTCTTCGTCCTCATCTTCTGGAGAGACAGTCACACACACAGCGAAGAATGTTGTCATTGCTGTTGGTGGAAAGGCTATTATTCCTCCTGTTTTGCAAAACAAGCGATGTGTATTGCACTCCTCGCAATATGCTACTAGCATTGGAAAGATTGAGAAATTGCAAAAGGAGACTAGAAAGCCATTGAGATTTGCAGTTATTGGTAGTGGACAAAGTGCTGCAGAAATCTACAATGATTTATGGGAGCGTTTTGGAGAGGAGACCGGTGTTACTGTTAAGTTGATTGTTAAGGGTCAGAGTCTGAGACCCAGTGATGATAGTCCTTTGTAAGCTTTCTTCCTTTCCCGTCATCGATAGACACAAAACTAAGACTCGCAGTGTAAACGAAATTTTCGACCCCGACCGCGTAACCCCTCACTACAACCGTCCCTCCAACCTTCGTGCCGCGGGCATCATCCTTGACCGCGCCACAAACTACGGCGTTGTCCGTCTCGAGCTCCTCGAGCATCTCTACGAAAAACTCTACATTCAACGTATCAAGTGCGAGCGCACTGGTGCTACTCCCAGAGCAGCTATCGTTGTAAACAGAAGAGTAATCACAGCTACTCCTTCTCCTTCTAATGATTCTTTGAGACTGAAGATTGTTACTGAGGAGGGGGCTGAGAAGGAAGAAGAAGAGTTGGATGTTGATTATATTTTTACCGCTACTGGTTACAGAAGAGATGCACATGTCGAGATTCTCCGAGGGTGCGAAGAACTTGCCACAGGTGAGGGAAGTGATGTTAAGGGAGAGAATGGACCTGTAAAGGGCAAGTGGGGAGTAACCAGAGATTATAGAGTTAAGGTAGTAGATGGAAAGGTCCAAAATGGTGCAGGAATCTGGTTGCAGGGTTGTAATGAGTCGACGCACGGAGTAAGTTTCTTTCCTCCCATAGAAATACGAATAAATACTAACAAATCCTCAGTTATCCGATTCCCTCCTTTCTATCCTCGCCATCAGAGGTGGAGAATTAGTCCAGAGCATGTTCGGAGAACAACTTGCTCAAGAAGCAAAGAACTAAATCTGCTGCGTTTTCTTTGTCATTCAAGATACCACAGTATACTGTAGCGCAGAGGATAATTTTCAAATAGATCATTACCGGTGCTCAGAATAAGTTGTTGTTTTTGTTTATACATATTATTTTCTCAGGTGACGGTATTATCAGTGGAGGAGTAGAAGATAAAAGTGAATCATGTATATAGGACTGGAATTTGGATTTGTGGATTGGAAATTATATTTATACCTCTTGATATACTTTATCTTGTCTTATGATGAATGATCAATTTCAGAAGTAAGTGAGATTGTGAATAGTTGCAAAAGTTTTTGATGGGGACTTGATTACGTGGTTATGGGATACTACGATGGGTATTTGCCAACAAGGTGTAGATAACTGGTAACTAGTACTTACTGTTGGTTGATAGCGGAAGAGAGTTGCTGAAAATGTGTTACAGATAACCGAATCAAAACCCGTTGTTCCACAACGTATTGCCATGGCTTGCGGATTCTCGTGGATGGATATATTTGTATTTCTGGTAAAAGCAACCACGAACTTCGATGTTATTGAGATGCTGGCCTGACGACGGATGTGGACGAAAGGTCACCAACAGACTGATGAGAGATGAACGTGCAGAGAGTTCCAAGATGCGTGGTATAACATGGCATTGCTATAATATCATCTTATAATCTCAGGATGATGATACTTGTGTGCCTGTTTCCTAGGGAAAGTAGAGATCATGCTGTCACTCCTGCAAGTACTGGCTCGAGATCATCGGTGCCCTACAAATTCATTCAGAAGATCACTTTCCAACAAGAGGATACCAACGTAATACCCATCACAGTCCTCTCAATTGTAATGAGGAAATGATCTCCTACGCCCCTCTATCAAGCCAAACTCACTATCTTCCTTTCGAACATCCGGGCTCGACAGACAGTTCTCCAAAACTAGGTGTTACAGTACTTCTAGCAATTCACGTCTTGCACAAAATTACAATCGCCAGACAATTTGCCGAACAATTTGCTCAATCTTTCTTCCCAGTTAATTGGCCCTCAATTTGGCGATTTTCTCCTCGTCAAATACACCTGGGCATTTCTAGTGATTACCGGGATGGGAATCTAGGTAAATGATGCAAATAGTACTAACAGCAAATCTTTTTTACAAACACCATTCATAATTCATCTAGCTCTCATTCATGATGGCTAGTCCCACAGTGTGTAGAGTCTAGCACAACATTTGGGAGAAAGTCTGTCTTATTTCAGTGAAGATTCATCGAGATTCGTCCAATATCCACGCGAAATTCAACACTCTATTTTCCGGTGATGTTGAAATTGCGGAATTTTGATAGTATACATCCTGCGTATAATTTATTAGAACCCATTTAAGCTACGCAGCTTTTGCAGTCTCGCGTTACGTTCGTGTTTATTCATCACGTATGTTAACACCCAGTAGAGTGCTTTGGTACATTCACTTGATCATTGAAAGAATCAAGTGTATTTTCGATGACTTAGCGAGAAGAGATCTCACTCCATTACCCAACTTCAGTCTAGGATATCTCCTTTCGTGGTTGAATATCAAGTACAATCTAATTCCCCATACTTCACATCTCCACACTTTCCTCCCCTCAACCTAACATTCCCCAACCTCCAAGACCCAAAGCATGACAAGCAGGCTTCCCATAGCAATCCTCTCAACAATCCACATACTCAGCATCCACGCAATATACATCAGCATCTACCAAAGCCGGTTATATATCCGCACCACTTCATCTCTACAACCAAGGACCCTCTGTCCTCCTCGACTCCCACAATCCCATTCTTACGCAGTCCTGCGGGATTTCTCCCATAGATAAACTGCTCACGCTTGCTGGCGTCATTTTTGCGAATATCACAGATGGTTCTGCTCCTGAGTTTTGCTTTCTCTGTATGCGTTTCAATTCGCCGGACAGCTTGTTTCTGAGATCACTATTATCATGGTTAGAGAGATCACAGTTCGAAAAATAACTGCCCTGGCAACATTCCCTGTATCTATATGTATCGGATACATTATTCCATCGATATTAATATCTTTACCCTCACGCTCAACAGTTACCAAACAATGGTTTGGGGGTCTTGGGCAGGATTTTTCTGTTTGGATTTCTGCATGTCAACTTCTTTTAGGCATCTTGTATCCCAAATTCATTTTCCAAACCCAAAATCATGCGCTCCATCTTCCAACATCTTCATCAATACTCAAAAATCAAAATAACAATACTCATCTCCTCTGCTCTCACCAACCCAAATCAAAAAAACCAATCTCCTCCATCAAACTTACAATTTCGCCCTCACAGTATCCACATCCTGCCATCCCCTCCCTCTCACACTCACAACCTGCAACTATCTCTTCCCCTTCCCCTTCCTCCTCCCTCCCCACTATCATTCCCTCTCGACATTCCCTCGAATCTTCATCCCTCCACCCTTTTGGTCACAAAAACAAGTGGAATCTATGGCAATGGCAATCCATGATTTCCTGCAATACGATCAACATATCGGATCAAGCGCTGCGTTTACATGGGCTATGACTTTGATTACCAATTCGAGAGAACAATTTACATAGCGTGAAGTCGTCAAACTATGAATTTGGAGTTTGGGAATTGCCGTTTTTGCGGGACCGAGAGGAGCGGTGGTGTGACTTTTGAGGGAGAAAGATTTGAGGGTCAGTTTGGGAGGAGGGAAGTAGGGTATGGAGAGGGAAATACGTATTGAAAAGAGATTTAGCTAGAGCAAATTTTCAATATTAAAAAGATACCGAATGGAGTTATGCTCGGATTTCGCTCCGGGTTCTCTCCTCTTCACGAATTTTCTCGCTTGTCAAATACATACACGATTAAAAGCACAAGTAGACAAGCAAGCAACTACACAACCATCAAATCTAATTACCCACAACCTGGAATGCTAAAATCTCGTATTGGTATCAATAAAAAAACGACATTAAATACACTGCTAGCTTTTTCGCCTATGATCGCCCAGTAATATTTTCGTTTCCACTTCCCGCTTTCCATTCCTTACTACTATTTCCATTCATTACCGACAATGATTCGTCGTCTCTCTCCCAAAACAATTTTTCCCATTTATAAACAACGATGACTATTAATATTCCACTGCAGCCAATTATCCCTTTATACCACACTGTCCCTGATTACAACTTCTTCGTCTACTTCTTCTTGCCCTTTCCTTTATCGCTTCCACCCTCTTTCTCCCCCACCAACTTCAATAGCAACTCCTTGAGTTCTCCAACTTCCTTCCTCAACTCTCTTACTTCACAAGTCGCCTCATCACTCTCCACATTTGGTACAACGCCCTTGACTCTCTTTTCCCAGCCCTCTCCTTCGAAATCCACTTCCCCATTCAATTGTTCCCACTCCTCCACTGTATCATCATCGTCATCACCTCTTTGTCTATTTCCCTTGACTCTTATCGCACTTCTCTGTTCAAACCAAGCTGCTATTAAGAGCAATGGTGAATAGATCACTGCCATAACATAATCGTTAAGTTTAGCGTATTGTTTTCTTGGCATCCACCATTCGCAAGGAAGAATGAGGAAGAAGATTTCGATAAGATTAGTTGGTGCGATAAAAACATTCTCATCTGGGGCTCTGACAAATTGCATGGTCTTCTGAGAGAAGAGTGCCATATATTCATCAATGGCATTATCCGTAATATCCTCATAAGCAGAGTTGTAAAGTGCAATGAGGATATTGAGAAGGACTACCATAATGAGAAATGTGAAGATATAATAAAGGATAATTCCAAAAGGTGGAGCGAAGTTGTCAAAACCGGAGAAATCTGGTGATTGCATGACAGCGTTGGCCATTGCTTGAAGGATGAATGTAGCAGAGTCGACATTAGAATCGGCCATGTCCATACCAATGAACGCTTGTAAGAAACCAATGATGATGACAAATAAAAGGGCGAAGAAAATGAGGGATTCTTTCATCATTACTTTGATAACGACAAGCATAGCTCCGAAAAAGCGAATGGAATCGAGGTAGAGTAATAATCTCATCCAGAACATTGGTGCAGAGAAAGCTATCCATGTTAGTATTTTTCAACCACTGAACAAAATTTAGACATACCTAAGAAGTTATAACTAAGCTCATTGAACTTTCCTCTTTTTCCATCATCATCTTGCAGTGGGTGACCAAGAGCAATAATTCTCGTAATCAAACTTGTCGTTAGGAGGGCATAAAGGATTACATTGAAGACATTCCAGAATCCAATATAATATCTTCCAACCTTCCAAAACTTGCTGGCCTCATCGCATATGAAACCAGCTGTGAAAATGTAAAGGATAATTTCTACAATATCCAAATCTCCACTTGGATTGACTGTATTGATAGCACCTGTATACAAAGCCAAATAGATCAATGAAAAGATGATCTGAGTAGCATTTTGATAAACGGGTGCGCGCATGCGATCTGGATCAACATGAGTCCAGTAATGTGTATTGTCCTTCTTCTTATAATCAACGAATTGAGAAGGATCGTTCTCATCTTGTACGAGCCATCCTCTCCAGAGATAATTGACGCATTTCTGATATCCCGAAGAACCAGTAACACGTAAAGCATGAAGATCTACTGCTCTTTCGATAACATTCGCAGGTGCAGTTTGCTCTCCATCGACCAATACCGAATATCTTTTCAACAATACATTTTGTAAAAGATACTCTTGATCTTCTTCTGTTTCGATTCTAGCCATATGTCAGTCTCTTACTTCTTTCGATCTCTCCGATTCCGATTCCGAATTCAAGACCCAGAAGTAGAAAACTCACAATTGTTTCGCAATAACCTCACAAGCCACCGCTCTCACATTGTGTAAATCCGCATCCCAAAGTTCCAACATAGCCTGTTTCTTGAACCATCTCTTACAAACCAACAGTGCATATACTACACAAGCACCATAATCCTTTCCTCCTGCCTCCTTTGCGGCTGCAATAACCTTCCTAGTTATGATTTTCGAATGTGCGCATACGACATTTGCTTCTTCGAGTTCGCATGGTACAGCTTCTTCAATGAGGTAACGAAGACGAAGAGCAGTTTTAGTTACTTCGAGAGGAGGAATGGCGCTGGACAGTTCATCTTCGCGGTAGGAGGGAAGAACTGAGAGTTGTTAGTTGTTAGTTGTTGGTTTTTGTGAGTTGTGATTTTTGTAAATGCGCAATTCGTTATGCGACTCTAGGGAATACAAGCAAGAGAGAAGAAGACTTACGACGACGAGCTTCATCGCGCCAAAGATGTTGATCTGCGCTATTCATCAAAGTGTCAGTATCAATTGCATTATCCACATAAGTGATAGCTCGTTCCTCTCCAGCTATTACATATCGCGGGGTTCACAAACCTTCCATCCAAACCGAAGAGCTTTCTCCATTGAACCATTGTGAATGAATGCAATGAATTGCAATAGCTCCCGTCTCAATTGCTATTTCCTTTCCAAGAACGACGATCAAAGGTCGTCAAAACAATTTGCTTTGAAAGGAAAAATGACTTATCGCATTGATGTGCTTACACGAAAGTTGTTGGTTTTGCTAATTCGCGTTCTGTGCCTTGTGCATCCACTTCCAAGGTTTGCTTTCTCTCAAGCCTATTTGGATTTCTTTGCTTGGCAGATAGGCGGTGGATAGCACCTGCTCAGTGAGCCGAGCCCGGAGAGCTTAAGTTTTATGACGTGGTGCCAGCAAAAGAGTGAGTGAAAAGCCATTTTATCGACTGGCAATACGATACGAAGCCATGAACTTGAAAATACAGACTTTGAAGATATATTTTTGCTTATGGTCTTGGACAGCGATAGATGTGGAATTGATTGACGGACTGTACGACTGACTGTGATATACTATATTGGTAGGGTCTAGTTCTAGCTACCTACCTAGCTATTATGTAATCCATGTGAGATCATCTGTGGCGCACATATGAATGCATTAGGTAGGTATGGTATGATCCATTACCTACCTCCAGCTACCGGTGAACCTCACGAGCCACAGGTGCCACACTCAAACGGAAAGTTTTATACCTAGGTCGCCACGAGTAAAGACATTGACTGATCAACCACATCGTACAACGAACAAGAAGATTCTTTGTTTTAGATTAAACTTCATTATAATCATAATCTCAATGGTATCAGAACTTTAACCCTTTAACATACATATATAGGGGAAAACAAAATTTCGATCTATCAATATTCGACTCCCTCAACCAAATTAAATGGCCAACCGAACGTGTTCCTGGTATCCAGCCTGTCTGTTCTGTGTAAACCTGATTCCCCAAGATGTTCTAAAAACCCCAAGATGTGACGCCGGCGGGGGTAATTCTTGATACGTGTTCATACTCCATATCGTAAGTAGAACAGCGATATCTCACCCTGGTATCATATCCATATATCGTACAAAATCTTCGTATACTTTTCTGTGTATATTTTTTCCTCCTTATGGAAGCCCCTTCATCAATTGGCTTCAAGCCGAGAATTTACGTCATTCGAGCACAACGGATCGGTATAGCGTAGTCCCCTATTGAATGTTTCTCTGCGAATTTCTGTGCCCTTTCCACCCTAAGATTTGACTTTGTTCCCATTCTCCCGGCGCAGAGTGTCTATTAGCACTTGTCACAGTAACCTTCGTCTCTTTCAAAATATGTTTCTGACTTTCTCCATCATCTTTTTCAATATCCGAGTCGCCTAATTGAACGAAAGTATCCAGATTGATATCTGATCTCTTTCCTGTACCGTGTTGAGTGCGCGGTACATTTCCATTCTTTCCTGATGTAGGATTGTTGGAGTTTCCAGTAGTACTGAGATTGAGGAAGGGAAGGGATAAGAGAGGACGAAGGGCAGGGAGAGATCCGGCGAAGATTCCCATTGCTTCCTCGATGACGGACCAGAGTCCTATGCGACCGGTACCGAACATGAACTCGGTAGGATCGCTGTAGAGTGATAGGTAGCGGAGTCGAACGATTGTTGCACAGCTTGCACTGAAGATGAATTAGTCTCAAGCCATCTTCAAAATACCCAAGAAACCAAGAGAACTCACAAAGCAGCCAATCCCAAAATACAAGCCACCGAGACCTTAACTCTACTCTTCATCTGAATGTTCCTCAACAATACCGCAGGCAAAATCGCCAATGCCCAATCTGTTGCGATTTCCACGGCCGAAAAGAACAAACTGACATCACTGTTCAGTTGCAAATTACACACTCCTTCCGATTCCCCCCATAGCGTATTGATCGGATGACATATATTCGCAATGCCTATCATGAAAATAAGGGCAGAGATAGCGGTCATGATCATAATACCCCAGACGGTATAAACATAGCGACGACGGGTATCAGCGATACGGAGGAGAGTTACTGCAATACTGCATTTGATAGCTACAGCACCAGTAGCGTAGAAAAACTCAGCAATGAAGAAGAGCTATGAGATGATCAGTATGGTGGAAACCTTGAAACCCAATTCTCAGGAAAAATAATAAATACCTTAGTCCCCCTTGCAATATCATACGCACTCAAGTATTTAGCTTTCTGACCACTCCCATAGAAACTGCATACAATACACAGACTACTCGTGACAGTAAATAGCAACTACTCAACCATTACCATATTAGCATCAATTCTCTCTCCAAACCACATCTTTTGAAGAAGTCAAACAAGGGAACACAAAAAAAACCATACCAAACCAATCGCCATAACAATATCATCCAATCCCCAAATCTTCCTCCACAACCTCACACCCGCACGCATGGAAAAAGTGATCCAGCACAACGCCAGCAACAAAATCGAGGTCCAAAATAATGCGACTCCATCCCCTGCGATCTTCGACATATTTGCGGTTCTGCTTTCGTCACACTCCGTCGATTTGTCGCCGAGCAGCTGATCTTAAGAACTAGCTCACTGATCACACCGAACACACAAAGTAGGTAGGTATGTAAGAATCGTAAGATAAGATAAACAAAACTTGCAAAAAAAATAAAAAACCACTGATACTGCTACTAAGATTCGAAAGTATACACATGCATGTTAGAAATCCAATCGCACGAATACGAAAATAAAGTACGGTGCAGTAGTTGTCTACTTAGCACTTTAGTTTCCTTCCCAGTCTTGATATATCTCCATATATCATAATGATCGAAAAATCTCATTCCAGATCCCTCCCCTTCGTGATACTTCGGGATATTCCCTGCGCATGCCTTGAGTGCTGATAGGGCGGAAAGTGCCCGAGAAGACATAATTCGAGACTTCCTGGCTCGAATCATATGGGTACTCTGTTCATGTTATTCCTCTTTGGGATTGTTCATATGAAGAATTCTAAGTGCCCTCGCTCGGCTCGATTAATGGTGGACCCGAGACCAAGTTCTGAGCTTCTTTAGTTCTTTAGTGGGTGGTAGCTTGGTAGGGGTGTGATTCCTGCTTTTATGTACGGTGTGCACTTGGTATATCTTGGGTGTATAAAAGTCTAGAGTGGGAGGAACACCTAATATTCGAGAAATTCATTGTTATGATAGGGTAATGCAGAGTTAATTAGTCTTCTTTTGACGGCGTCCTTACTGAGAACTGATATATCATTAATGGGTAGGACTACCGGCAATGCATTCCTTCTCCGCGCTCCATTCCTTTTTAGTTCCAGAACTAATTTCATAATTCAAAGCTTTTCTTTGAGTATATTCCTAGGTAGTGTATAAATCGATAGTCATTATTGAATTAATTATGGAATCGTGAACAAGACTCAACCCATTACCTAGTATCAGACCATCAATTCAAGGGGTAACGAATCGCACCATCCCCTCCGCTTAAAGCTTATTCGGGGCGAAAAACTTTCAAGATTACGCTGAATATCATTTCCATGTGTTCCGATTGGAAAATTGGCTCATGATCTCCATCGACATCAGGGACTGTGTTCTTAAAGTTTCCCTTTTCAAGATCGTTGACAAGAGCTCCTATCCAAGTCAAATCTTAACAAAAGTGGGATACATGTTCACAGAGTCCCTCGCTGCGAGGGCCTCGCAGCGGCAGTTACATTTACAGTAAGATCGCCCATTCCAAACAGCAAATCCAACGGTTTTCCACACAATTGTTACAGAAAAAAATAAACAGCATGGGGGACATCCATGAAAACACGCACAACTTGCGTGAAGCCCTAGAACTCCAATATGAAATGTATTATTACGCTACGTAAGCGACTAAAAGCTCCACATAGGTATGTATATCGGCGACATTTGTTTTGGAATTCAATCGGTCCCTAGTTCGGGGTCGGTTAACACAAGCCTGAAGCTTCAGAATCCAACTTTTTTTCTGCCAGTCGGAAATCTCAGTCACATGTTTTCAAATTTCCTCGCTCGAACGATTTCTTTGCCCATGAAGCTAATCTTAATACGCTCCACCCTAAAATTCATTTATTAATTCGTAGCCTACGGCGCTATATCCTCCTCAAGAGGACCAGCCCGAGGTTCCGCATAATGTGTCAAATGTATACGGAGTAGACCAGTGTTACTAGTAAGGGACCAGTGCCCCACTAACAGCTGTCATATTGAGTTTTGAGGGGTTGTTTAAGCTTGCTATTGTCCTTAAGGTTTTCCTACCATATCAATTGTGATTTTCCCATAGTTCTTCCTTTGTACCAGAATCTATCATATTGTACTATTAACAAGAAACATCCCCAGTCGCATACATACATATATACATCATGTCTGAAATCATTATCAAAAACGAAGATTTGGCAAGCCTTAAGGGCAAGGTTGTCATTGTGACAGGTAGGTTACATTCATCATACATAGAAATCACGTAGACGAGTTCCCACACCTGTGTACCTTACATCTACTCCTCACAACCCCTCATACTCACATAAAACCCCTCATTCTAGGCGGTTCCTCAGGAATTGGTCTCGCAACCATCGACCTCCTCTTATCTCTCGGAGCCTCCGTCGTCAGCGCAGACATCAACCCTCCACCCACCCCAATCTCTTCCCCCTCATTCCTATTCGTCCAAACAAACGTAGCCATCTGGTCTTCCCTCGCTGCCCTCTTCAAAGCCGCTGTCGAGAAATTCTCCCACATCGACTATGTATTCGCCAACGCTGGAATCGGTCCTCGAGGAAACTATATTGCCCTCGACACTGACGAGAATGGAGATCTCAAGGAGCCAGTCCATGAAGTCTTGGAAGTGAACTTCAAGAGTGTAGTCAACACCGCTTGTTTAGCAATCCACTATTTGAAGCAAAATGCCCAGGGAGGAAACATCGTACTCATGGGATCGAGTACTGGATTACAACCTTTGAGAGCACCAGATTACTGTAAGATACCCTCCTCTTCTCCCAATTCCCCAAATTAGAAAATAAACTAACAATCCCAAAGCCGCAGCCAAAGCAGGAGTCCTCGGTTTCGGCCGCTCAATCCAACGAACCATCAAAGCAGCAAAACTCCCCATTCGAGTCAACACCCTCGCACCATCCTGGACTTCCACCCAGGTTTTGCCTGATCTCGATGGTATCATGGCTGCCATCTCCCACAAGGCGCAATCTTGTGATGTTGTAGCTAGAAGCGCAGCATTCTTGATGACTACAACTGATAGAGAAGGAGATATCTTATACGTATCTGACGGACGTATCACAGAGATCGAGCAGAGTATCTTGGCTCCAGCCTACGCGGCTATCAAGGGTGATGGACCAAGTGACGATGAGATTTTGGAGCGAATTTTTGGTTTGGGTGCATAAAGGATGATTCATGAGGTGCGATTGGCGTGAATGATTCGGATGTTTAGCGTGTCAGTAATTGACATCGATGATTTGGCTTGTTTAGATGAAGAGATACCATATTTTATGTACTCGATCGAGTATGTATGCATTAGTTATGAATGAAATTTGAGCTGTTCATGACATTTTGCTATTTCCATCTCCCTGAACTGCTATACGCTGATCCTCCTACTCATACTTCTCTGTGAATGTACGGCAATTGAAAATGAAATACAACGGCGATTGTCTTCTCTATACCTGACTGCCGAAATTCAATAAGTACCGTTCGAGCTATTCATCGGCACCTGAGACGAACGTTAGGGATCTAGATCCTCCCATCCGCACCGCCTGTCAATTGTCAATCATAGCCATTTTGCATTCGCACATCAGCATCTCCACAAAAGCACGAAACACAATTGCGAAAAAATAGGGAAACTCTAGCCTATCTTCCCACACACATGATTCCCAGCAGCAATCCGACAGAATTTCAACTAGCCAAGAGCGAACGTACTCCTTACACAAACCCATCCATCCTCCGTCCGTACAAGAAGATTTCACAATGTTTCACCTCCCCGGTATTTGCATTGATCACACAGCATATTTCCCATTTGGGTCGCGCTCATCCGCTCCTAGACGTTATTCGGAGATAACGCCGACATCCTTGATTCATCGTTCTCTAGCGTTGAGAGCGGGTAGACCAGCCTTCCAGTCCCGGCAGATTAATTTTGTATTTTAGCGAGCGTAGGAACGAATGCACTGCACTATATGTAATTTTTCTCCTCATGATCTGTCGTCCGCGAAATTCATCGCAGCAAGAATCAAGATCGAGTATCAGAGCCGACTGGGCGTTCTAAAATGGGATATCCAAGACTTTTCCCCATGGATGCATGAGGTAGAAAATCAGGAGAACAAAACAATTGATGCACATACACGTACAACCCAGAAAACGAACAGAACTTTGATACAAATGATATGAAATGTGATTAAGTAACCTTGACTTACTTACTACTCACTCATGCCGCGTGCAGCGAGCCCAAGCAACCCCACTACCAAAAAAACCGGATTCGTCCTCTTATAGTCTACGATCTTGTGATATATACTTCCAGCTTCAGGGTTGCCTACATTGTGCCACCTGAGAGAACGAGCAAATAAGCAAGTTGAGTTAGAACAAAGCTCCAGTCCCCTGCATGGAAATATTGGACTCACACTGCCAGCCGCTCCCTCTTCAGCCTCAAAAGTCTAATTCTCAGCTTCGCTGGCGGCATATCTTTTACCAAAAGCACGAAAAAAGTAAGTTCAAGAAAGAACACTCTAGATCTTCATTTCTTTTCAACATTCCCTAGAAAATCAAAATCTATTAGTGTGTATCTTTCGTTCAGTGCATACAAGTTGTTCTCATCATTTTCTACATCTCCTACGAATCACATAGAATCCCAAGTATCTCTTTCGTTCGTCGATCCCTCCTGTACACCAAAGCGGCCAAGATCAGAGACTCTAACGACTGGGTGCCTATAAGAAGAGTAGAGATCTACCTCTTGCATGAGGAAAGTACTAAGTTAGCTCGAGCTTTGATTGGGCTTCGATGTCAATGGAGAAGGGGTGGTGTTTGATACCAGCTTACACAGAGATTGCATATACACATATCCAGACACATATCCATAGCCATCGACGATCTCTCGTGCCCGATACTTGATATCTAAATCGTCCGTAGGATGTACACTAGCTGGACTGAACGACCTCCACCTATCAACGTTTAAACATCCCATGATAAGGCCATCAGATCTGATACCGGACTCTTTCATTCTTGGAAGAAAGCTCACTTCGGCATCTTGGAAGTGATAGACGAATATATTCAAAATTTTCATCACATTCGAGGTGTAGAAAATGCTACATAGCACGGGGAAAATCACTACAAAATGAATCCAAATGAACTAATACCCACCAAGTATACAACATCAAAAACAACGGATAGAATGATGAAAATCTCAATAGTAATCTATAATATACAATCTACCTGCGCACCGTATCTACTTTGCCATTGATGATATTCATGATCTAACCTTCGTCTTAATCTTTTTCTCCAACTCCTCAATCTCTCTTTGAGCCTTTTCCTCCTCTGCTTTCATCGCCTCCAACTTCAAATCTTCAATCCTCTTCTGTTCCCTTGCAAGTTGATCTGGTCTTCGAATCGCGATATCCTTTGGTTTGTAATCACTGAAAAGAGCTTTGAGCACCTTTTCAATAACAAAACAAGCAAGATAATCCACAATCATCGTAGTCGTCATAACTACTTTGAAATCATATGAGAATGGAACCAATTTCATTTTCTCATTAACCTCAGGGATGAATTCAGTCGAGCAAGAGAAAGCGATTGCGGATACACCAATGATACCGTAGTACATTCCTTTGTTTTCGGAAATGGCTTCACGGAATGGACGACCTTGATAATTGATTGCGAATGTGGAAATTTGTTGAATCAGTTGAAGAAGATAGACAGCGCTGTTTAGGAGGGATGGAGCGAATTCTCCTTCGAGATCAATGTCTGGGTCACGTCTGATAAGATATTAGTACCTGTTGCGCTGGTGAAAATGAGAGAAGGGTTTAACTTACGGAGCAATCTTGTCGCAGAAACGAGCGATATAAATGAGTGTGGCGATATGAACTGCAAATTGTCCAAGAATAGATCCAATGATATAGAAGTTGAAGATATTTGGCTGGGGTCTTTCTTTGGATAGGCCTTCCACGGACTTAGCCCGGGAAATTGACAGAAAGCAAACACTCATGAGCATTCCACTAATTGTCACTTGACCATCACCAAATTTAATACCTTCGAGATACAACACACTCAAACTGTAGGCGCTAATGAGACAATTCAAAGCGAGAATTTTGTACATTTGAATAGTTGCAACGAGCGTACAACGACCTTGACGAATGATGTTGGGGATGGCAATGACGTTACTCAGTTTACTGGTGAATGGAGCAGCGACGGATGCATCACCAAGCTTGATTGTAGGTGGCTCGTCGTCATCCATTTCTGCCTCCATCAGACTTTGAGTCATTTTATCAGCGAGACTAGCCGCTTTCTTCTGTGCATCATTCAAAGTCGGCTTGTTTTGCTGACCATTAATCAATGCTTGAGCGCCAGGCGAAGTAATCGTTTCCACTTCATCAGTTTTATTTTTGTTAGCAGCTGTCTCCATAAGCGCCACAGAAATACCCTTCTTCTCAGCTTCCCGTTGAATAGCTTTATCGTAGTGTGGATTTTTAGGTCCCGGTGGATACAAGTGTGCAATCAATATGGGTACTGGAGGAGTCGGTTGGTTGAATCGTGTCATCATCTGACATTGCTTCTCGTAAAGCTCTTTCATTTTGTTGTTTCTGAAATGTTCGGCAATCTTGTTGAGATCCTCTTGCGAACCATTGAGCAACGCAATACCAATATGAGCTTGCTTCAAGGCTCCAACGTCGTTCGTTCCATCACCAGCCATAAGAGTGTGATATCCAAGATCTCTCAAGCCGGTAAGAATTTCTTCTTTCTGTTTTGGAGATACACGAGCATACACCCATGCGTAACGGTAAATGGTAGAAAGTGCAGATTGATCCTTGAATTTAGACAAAGCGTAACCAGTGACACACAAGTCATTTTTCTCGATAATGTTCTTGTCAATGGGCTTGGAAGGATCAACGGGAATGCTGATACTATCATCAACACTTCTCCATACAAGTTTCTCCCCCGAATCATCGTGTTCTGGTGCATCAAGAATGAGGACATCTCTATCCACAATTTCAACTTCTCTGGCAACATGGATAGCGGTCAGAGGATTGTCACCAGTAATCATAACGACACGGTGACTACTTTCATTGAGCATTTGTACAGCTTTCTTCGCGTCATCCTTGAGAGGGCAATGTAGGACCAAGAAACCAGCGAAATGTAATTCGCTCTCCACTTCTTCACGCTTTAGATCATTGATTTTGCCAGAGCCAAGTTCAGATTCGGTGGATAGATATTTGTAGGCCAAAGCGAGAACACGGGATCCTTTCCTGGTAAAGTATTTGTAGGTTTCTTCGTAATCCGCGGGGACCTTGACCAACATTCTCATGATGGTTTCCGGAGCTCCTTTGACACCAACGAATGTAGAACGAATCTTCTTACCAGTTTGGGTATTGAGAGCGGTCAATGAGGCGACAGAGCTTTGACGTTTAAGGGCAGACGAGAATTGGAAACGGCGTTTGATTTGAACCGAAGATGAGGGTGCACCAGTTTGAATCTTGCTGGACAAAATATCATTTCGACCAAGTGTCCAGCCCAACGAAGTCAATGTAGCTTTCTCCATAGGATCTCCGACAATATCACCCTCATCCAATTTGACGAGGGCATGAGCCGTAGCGAGCACATATGTGGTCTCCAATGAAGCTTGTAAGACAGGAGTGATATGGCTGTGAGCACCATCGTTTTCACGAGGGGTATCGGTACCGGAATGACCTAGGCCTAGACCGGCGATACCCTCAACGACTAAATCTTCTCCAGTCAATGTACCAGTCTTGTCGAAACATGCGACATCAACTCGCCCAGCGAATGGAATACGGAATGGTTCGGTGCAATAAATAGCATAACGACTAAGAGCTGCCAAACTAGTGTTGACTGCAAGACTGAGCTCCATGGGTAATTCTGGGGGTACGACACTGGTAACAATCAAGACGCAATCAAGCAAAAGCTTTGATCGTTTTCTGTCCTTTCTCACACCTTCATCCCAGACATACCAAGATGCAGCGATTGCGAAAATCAACAAGAAAAGAATGAAGAACAATGCTTCAGCATTATTGGCAGATACGCGCTCGGTAGAATAAATCATAGTTCGAACCAAGCTTCCCTGCGAGGTCTCGAATCCAGTTTTTACCACAATGGCCATAGCACCATTATCCGGGGGAGATGGAACGCCCGAAGCGATCTTTGGCCTTTCTTCATCGGTATTTCCATGTGTAATTTGTAGAACTTTTGTTCCTCCATAAAGGAACGCATTCTTGTCAAGACCTTCTGGCTCCAGAACTGCATCACTGGGTCTGAGTTGAACCGAATCCTTTAATAGTGGGGTACTTTCTCCAGAAAGCATAGCTTCGTTCACAATGGCGCTTCCTTCAACCAAAATCATATCGCAGGCTACACCACTGTCCTCCTTGGTTCGGCCAACTGAAACGAGATCTCCTGGTAGAAGCTTATCACTTTGTGTTTCCTCCCATTTGTTCAAGCGGTACACGAAGATATCGTATGGCTTAATACTCATTCCTCGGAATTCGGTCAAGGTTCTTTGGCGTTGCCAGACTACAGTACTCTCAAATCCTACTAACATGACCAGGGTAAACAAGGAATAGTACCAGTAATCATCCAACATCCATAGCCCAACACAAAAGATTTGGAAGACGAAGAATGGTGCGACTGCATGTTCTTTGAACAATTCTGAAAAGGTGGGAACTGGGATATCGAAAGTGTTGTCGCCATAATGTTGATGAATTCTGGATAGCTCAGATGCCGAATCGATACCTCTAGACTTTTGATATGTCTCCAAAAGTGGCTTTGGCTCTTGATCTATCGAGTATGTCAAGGGGGCAAACGAGTTCTTCGATGGATCGTAGAGAAATCGACGTTTTTGAAAGAGGAAAGAAACATTGCTTTTTCCACCAGCCTTGAGAAGAGTCAGTCAAGACGACTGTGGGGGAACAAGAATCAACCTACATTATCTCTATCTATTTTACAAAAATCTGCAGATCCAGCATTCGTAACAGGGTGAACCTTGATGAGCTGGGCAGTTGAAACAGACTTTGCAGATGTCGAAGTGAACAGAGATCTCAAGTTAATATTCCAATGTGTGCTGAGCCATACTAAACTTTGCGCTGTAATAATTGTTCCACACCACACAAAAGTCCATTCTTGCCCGCCGATATGTTGATCGTATAAATCTTGCGAGAGATAGTATCGAAAGAAGACAGGCCATATAATCGCGAAGGGCCATATATAAGTATGCAACCAAAGCGGTACTATAGTCAGTTAGAATTGTATACCATCTATTGAATGGTGGGGTTTTACTCACATGGATTATGCAATGTTGCGGATGCAATCATGGGATTATCCACTAGAGGCGCCATTGCGCAGGTTGGTAAGTGAAAGGGTTACGTTGAAGCTATTCACAAAATTCTCCAAGGCATAGGTGGCACTGAGTTATCATCATCAGCTAAACTTAAGAAATCGGAACATCGGAGCTTAATTGTTCGCTTAACCATATCTCAACGTGAGTGCAGTATCACGTGCAAGGGCCATTCTGGCTCGCCTGGTACATTCCTGCTGAATGTTTCTGTTTGGCCCTCGACAATGTTAGTTCTCTGGAAGATAAGTGAGGTACAGCAATGTTTGAATCACATACTTGTATTCATCCTTTGAGCAAGACTGATATCCAATGAACCAGCACAGGAAGCATCGCCTCCCAATCCAGCCAAATATTCTTATCGAAAATGAGGTATATCGACCTACATGGGGTGTGTACAACACTTTGATTTCCCGAAATCTTACCAGGTAATCTCAAAGTTACCTGCTATATGAACATTCAATGCAACTGCTTTCCTTATCACAATCGATATTCATATTCTTTACAGAGTTCAATGATATTAATATCATTTCCTTCAATTCATATTCCAATCAGAACATTAAAGCCATGTCCTTTACGCACATCATATATACATGTATACAATATCAAACAAAGTTCAATCACAATCATTCAATTTAGTCGTATGAACATACGTACAGATTTGACAGTTGTTTAGTAACAATGCACGGATACTTTGCCACTATACGCCGCAATCGGGTGTTCTGAGCTTCTGATGGGTTCCCAACAACCTGAGGCTATCTTTCCTTTGCTCACCGATAGATTTCCTACATGAGCCATGATTACTTCCCATACCCCCGGATAGGCCATCAAGTCTCTAAGGCTGAAAGTCCCCGCATCTCATACTCCATTGCACATCAAATTCTCGGAACTCCCCTTATAGATGTGCGGATGTAGGCGTGAAAGCTGCAGACCGACTTCAATGTATTGAGTCCGAACGATAGGTTATCTATCGAGTTACCAGAAGTGTATCAAGATGATAATGAAGGATGTAAGTTATCAAGCAACACGATATCAGCCCGGGGTAATTTACCACATTAGCATGATACTAGGCCCATCGAGAGGCTAGGTCCGGCGAGGATTATCTTTTGGAACGTCTGACTGGTAAATGAGGGCCAATATCGGAGCTGCCAAGTGGCCAAGCCAAAAAGTTAGCAGCTTGGTTGCTTGGCGGTAATCAGCACTTCCACACGAACAAATAGAATCTTCAAATTTTTCATTATCAGAAAGATAAGACTTTTCAATGCGGGCGAATTTCAGAGGGGTATATAGTTATTGCTGTGGTACAATGTCTTGACTCCATTGAATTCTGTGTTTCGGAACGAACCGACCAGAGATCCAACTACACTCCATTCTATTATCTCGCTGAGAATTTCCTGGTTGATCATGGTTGGTTGGGATACCAAACTCAACGATGCTGTTGCCGGCAGCATCGTTGGTAGAAGATTTCGTCTTGAGGGTTCTGGTCATGTAAAGTCGAGAGAGGGGTCAAGGTTTCTGACAGAAATTCGTGCTGGATTGGCGACATTCTTCGCAATGGCATACATTATTTCTGTATGTTATTGTCTCTTCATTTTCTTCACCTAATCCAATCATTCGCGATCACGAGGAGGACAGCCTTCCCTTTAAAAGTTCATTGCAGGTTGGGTCGGCTCAGTCTTCGAAATCAGCTGACATTGAGAATTCAGGTCAATGCCACCATTCTCACCGATAGCGGTGGAACTTGCGTTTGTACCGATGCGACTGATCCTACTTGTGCCACCGACGTTGACTACAATCTCTGTCTTGGAGTTATCCGTCGGGATTTCATCACTGGAACTGCTGCCATCTCTGCTCTAACGTCATTCTGTATGGGACTATTCGCAAACATGCCAATTGCATTGGCTCCAGGGATGGGTCTGAATGCTTACTTTACCTACACGGTTGTTGGATTTCACGGGCTTGGGCCTGTTTCATATAGACTTGCCCTCACTGCGGTCTTTGTTGAAGGTTTTGTGTTTGTGGCATTATCGTTACTTGGATTGAGACAATGGCTAGCCAGAATTATCCCCGCTTCCATCAAACTCGCTTCTGGAGTAGGAATCGGTCTATATTTGAGTAAGTATAATTTTGCCATGAAAATAATCCAATACTGATTATCGGATAGCAATTATTGGTCTTGGATACAGTGCAGGTCTCGGAGTCATTACCGGGTCTCAATCTACCCCCCTTGAGCTTGCAGGATGTGTCGCTAGTGCTTTCGACGAAACCGGTGTTTGCCCTGGATCAACTAAGATGCGTTCGCCTACTATGTGGATTGGAATATTCTGCGGTGGTTTTGTGACTGCAATTCTCATGGCATATCGTGTCAAGGGTGCAATCATTGCTGGTATTTTATTGGTAGCGATCACCTCCTGGCCAAGAAATAGTTCAGTCACTTACTTCCCACACAACGATCCTACCGGTGATGCCAACTTTGACTTCTTCAAGAAAGTTGTTACGTTCCATGGAATTCAGGAGACACTTGTGGCACAAGACTGGAACGTAGCTGGCGTTACAGGCCAATTTGGTCTTGCTTTCATCACTTTCCTCTATGTTGATATTTTGGATTGCACGGGCACACTGTATTCTATGGCACGCTTTTCTGGAGCTATTGATGAAGAGACTCAAGATTTTGAAGGTTCAGCTGTAGCATATCTTGTCGATGGTGAGATATTTTTACCTCCTTTCGCTTCAATCATACTAATTTTTTTCACGCAGCTTTCGGCATTTCCATCGGCTCACTTTTCGGGCTCTCACCGGTTACGGCATTCATTGAGTCCGGCGCTGGAATTTCTGAGGGTGGTAAAACTGGTATCACTGCTATGGTCACAGGCCTTTGCTTCTTTATTTCGATCTTCTTCGCGCCTATTTTTGCCTCCATTCCACCATGGGCTACAGGGTCCACTCTGATCATCGTCGGTGCCATGATGTGCAAAGCTGCTAAGGATATTAACTGGAAATACTGGGGCGATGCACTACCAGCTTTCATCACATTGGCTGTGATGCCATTCACATATTCCATCGCGTACGGTTTGATCGCCGGTATTGTTTCTTACATGATTATTAACACCACCACTTGGATAGTGGAGAAGATTTCCGGTGGTCGTATTGTACCATACGATAAGGAGTTCAAGGAACCATGGACATACAAGATCAAGGGTGGTATTCTGCCAGCTTGGCTTGTAAGAGCTTCGAAGGGGTAAGTTCTTGAGCCATCCTTCAAGTCACGAAATCAGATGCTAATTTTTTCCAACAGAAAGAAAGACTTTTGGCACGATGATCCACCAATCAACACTTCATCAGCGGGTTCTTTCTCGGCTGGGGATTATGCGGATAAATCACGTGTTGAACCTCAACCCGTAACTCGTGCCATCGATGAGTCGAAGGCTGGTGAGAAGTTGGCTTAATATCTGTCTCTCGTTTCAATTTTGAAAAGAATTTGTAGAATATCTTATAAGGAGCGGGAAATGATTATCGGTGTTGAATTAAGGGATTGGAGATACCTGGTGGGAAAATATGGAAAACGAGGGTTGAGCACCTTCCTATATAATTATATTATTTTATGCAACAAATAATCAGCACTACTTGTTAATATTAAAATGTTACTTGGATCTTTGTTCATTTGTAATCACAACTTTCGTCCCATCGGTCGTTTAAACCACACGATTTTGTAACGTCTTCTCATACTATGGCCCTTTGTGATTTAATCTTATGCGAAAGTCTCGTTTATCTACCTAGGTACAGAGGGAAAGATCCGGCAAGTTTATCATCAATCAATAGGCCCAGTTTCCAACCAAATGTATATTACAATTGTGTACCTATACTAGGCTCATATCTAGCCATGAAAGCTAGAGAAATGCAGTCTTTGCATCCAAATAGGGAAAGTTTGTCGCGAAACAATCTCGACATTGATCGAGCACGCAGTCTCCATCTTGTAATCTTCCGTTTTATGTTGTGTTGTAAATGTTGGAGAACCTGATTGTCCTTCTGAATAATCCTTAGAGATCTATTAAAGTTTTGCGTATTCATTTGTCCATTCAGGATGGAATTGAGAGATATTATGTGGTTAAGATAACATGTCATCTCCATCGCGCCGAATTTGAATTGGAATGCGAAAGATGGGTATAGACAGGTTGTCTGGGTTTGTTAGGGTATATTGCTGGTTTGGGGATAGTCTGTAGTTTTCTATTATGCGGGGAATAGCGTTTGGTGGATTGTGGGTATGTTGCGATTTATAGGATGGGATAAAAATTGGGTTACTATGATATGATATACACGATTGGTAGATGGGGATAGCACATAGTCTGTCATCTATAAGACTGTGTTTGATGTTTGATTAGGAATTTTGGTTCAATAGGGACTTTTACCTAGCACTTAGTCATTACTAGATTTTCAGTGATAGATTTAGACTTTCGATTAGCAATATTCTATACCTGCAGAAGAATGCCTTGGAATCAGTTCTTTGATATTGAGAATAATGTTACAGTGATGCGTGCTCTAGTATTGCTACATATGAACAGACCCGCTTGCCTCGTACTTGAGTCAATAGAAGACTGGCGATTTGAAGTGTCTCTTATAAACAACGCATAGGACAGGGGAAGTGTATTATCGGCATCGAACTCATCAAATGGAAACAGCGGACTTCCTCAGAGAGCAGGATATCGTTTTCATGGTACTGATCACACTCGAGTACAACTGGTCTTCCAAATCAAGATACCTGTGTCCGAAGTAATATTTGGCGGCATAATGTTGTTGAAACTCAATTTAACACAGGTTGATGGGCAATATAAAAACATCTCCTCTCGCCTTCTACAATCTATTTGGTGCCTCGCACATCTTTTGAGAATGCCGCGGATTAAATGCTTGCGATTTTTTGCTTTCAGGATCTCCCGCAACTTTGTTATAAAGAGCTTGACAAGGAAATTGGTGATTGGAGAAGTATATGAGCCCAGTCATTTACAGTATCATATGTCGTGCTGGTCGTGTATGGTATTGTGAAAGCTGTTTCGCGCGCAAAACTCTCAAAGTCGAGGGACGAGTTGGTCGCCTTGTTTGGCGTAGTGAGAAGGTTTTCGATGGCGATGGATGGTTGATATATCTAGGCTTATGGGAATGAGACATTATAATCGGAATGCAATGGTGGGTAAGAGATGGGGAACAATATTATGTTCAGTCATCACACCGAGTTATCTCTCTCGAGTTCCTCTTGGCCACAGACTGCGTTTGGAAAGGCAGTATTTTGTTCTGCTTGAAGTTCTGCTAGTAGTGGTTGTGTCAAGATCATCGATCTTGCTATTGAGCCAGTTGTGCAAATGATCCTTACGGCGAGATCAAGTCGGCACTTGGTACACTGGAAGGAATCTTGAAGCTAGTGGGAAAGGCAATGGAGTTCACAGATCGGAAGAGCTGTGTCTGTATGGCATAGGTAGCCTGGTGACATCAAGTGTTCTGAGACTTGTACTTCGTTTTATGTCTTGCCGTTGCGAAAGTGTATCAACCATTAGTTCTAAATAAGCTACTAAAAGGTTGTGAGGATTATGCTAAGGATGAATGCCAGATGTTGTTTTGGGCTCTGATATTGATGCCCATTCATAGGAGTTTGTAAACTTTCGAGAGATTAGAATTTATCTCTTGGGGGAAATGATATAAGTTTACTTATTTGGTAATGAAAAGATCCCTTTCCTCACGTGCCGATTATGGGCCTGTAAAGGAGGAGGAGAGAAGAGTTGCTGAGTTGGTGTGATGTTCTTGATCTCATAAATATTGAGGATCCTGACATTGCGGAATCATAATTCTTCTTCTCATTTGCAGTATAACTATAGTACTATTTCAAAGGTATATAAAGTATTTATATAGGTACTTATCGACCAAAGACTCATTCCTCAAATCCGCACTCGCAAGATATAGATGAATATCCAGTAATGAATGGCAATTAACTTGTAACTAACAAGCTGTAATACGATTTTGAATGTTAAATATTACATATTGTATATTACCTCAACCACGAGAGAGACATCTGATTTTCTTGATATCGTGATGGTACACTCGTACGGTAAGTGAGTATACTTGAATCATTATATGACCAACCAAACAACAAAACCACCCATCCCATATATCATCCCATTCTTATCATTAGAATATAACCATCTCATACTAATAAACCAGTGGCTCGGCTTTAGAATCTCGGATCTGGCGGGAATGTCCTTCTTGGCAGACTGCTTTCACGCCATTGTTTGGCGGTACACCCCGTTTTCAGCTTGTTTTCAGCCCGTTGTTGTGCTGGTTGAGGATTGATTGACGGCGTTTGTTTGGGTAAAGATAGTGGAAGGTGGGAAGTGAAAGAAAGTTACATTCTTATATGGAGGATATTGATCTTGTGAAATAGATTCAAGTAAGAGAAGAGAGTAAAATGAAATAAATTAAACAAAATATATAGCATAAAAATATATAATAAAATCAATTATAGTGAATCGTATAACTTATAATAATAATAATAATAATAATAATCTAAATATCACACGACAATCTCACCTCATACAATAACCAAAAAATTAAGCTTAAAATCCAGGGTTTGGTGGTACATAGTGACGTATTTCATAGACTTAAGCAAGGCAAAGCTTGATAAGGCTACCGACTCCGGGAAAATAGTGGGAAAAATAGGTTGCTAGCTTGGTTCATCTTTCTAGTGCCCCGCCATTTCATTCCAACCCCTCGTTTGGTCGGTCGGTCGGTCGTTCGTTCGTTCGTTCGTTCGTTCATTCGATTTTCAAGAAAAAAAGAAAGGAATTGAAAATTGTTCACTCGAAACTAAACTCGAGGAGAGTTTTTTGTTCTTTCTGCTGGTCGAGATTATCGAGGTCTTCTTACTTTGTTTGTCTGGCTTTGACATACATCCGCAGATTTGTTGTCTACCTGGTATACATAAGTATAAGGATTTAGCTTTCCGTGCGGGCTCACGACCTCAATTCAAGCGGCACAGTCATATCGATCTCTTTGACGAGTATTCAAATACAAAGTAGATACATACCTCACCCAGCATCCCTCAACATGTCAGCTGCTGCTCCTGCAGATGGCGGATCAAATCCTTCGGGACTGAAAGAGAAGATGAAGAATCCGTTTGCGACTTTGAGAGAGAAGTTGCATGATACGAAATTGCATGATATGAAGGTTGGGTTGATTCAGAAGAAGTAAGTTGAAATTGGAGGAGGGGAAGAGGGGAAGGGGAAGCGGGAAGTTGGATACTTGTTGTTTGCTGTTTATTGACCATTGCATATAGACATCAGATTGGCAAGTTGGGAAACTTGGTAGGTTTTGGTTTCTTTTTTTGTTTCTTCTACTACTTCCTCTTCCTCTCCGAATAAATCCTAATCCTCACATAGTTCAATCCAAATCATCGTCATGATGAAGAACACGAAAAGATTACAGACGAAAAAAGATCCAGAATCGCAGAATCTCATCGTTTCGAATCCTTTGCGCCAGAAAGACCAGGAAATAATATCAAATGGTATGTGGATGGACGCGATTACTTCTGGGCCGTATCAGTTGCGCTCGAAGCGGCAAAGGAAACCATATATATTGCAGATTGGTGGTTATCTCCCGAATTATTCATGCGCCGACCTCCATATTATAATCAACAATGGCGTTTGGATCAGATTCTTAAGCGCAGAGCAGAAGCGGGAGTGAAGATTTTCGTTATTGTTTATCGAGAAGTCGAGGTATGTGTTGCGATTGAAATTCTCAAGATTTAATTGATTGACTTTTTGTAATAGGCTGCTCTTACATGTAATTCTGAACACACGAAACATGCTCTTCAAGCTTTATGTCCCGAAGGAACTCCAGGATATGGAAATATTCAAATTATGCGACATCCAGATCATAATGTTCTCGAAAATGCGGCTGATATGACATTTTACTGGGCTCATCACGAAAAGTTTATTGTAATTGATTACAATTTGGCATTTATTGGTGGTTTAGATTTATGTTTTGGAAGATGGGACAATCATCAACATCCTCTTGCCGATGTACATCCAGAAGGAATCGCAACTGAAGTTTGGCCAGGACAAGATTTCAACAACAATCGTGTTATGGATTTTCAAGATGTCAAAGATTGGAAAGCCAATGAATTATCAAAGGCTGAGTATGGACGTATGCCTTGGCATGATGTTGCTATGGGTGTTGTCGGAGATTGCGTTTATGACATCGCGGAACATTTTGTTCTGAGATGGAATTTTGTCAAACGAGACAAATACAAACGTGATGAGCGATTCAATTGGTTGATTCTTGAAGGTAGAGATGGCGAGAACGAAGATTTGGTTGGAGTACAAAGACCAAAACATCCGGTTGGAGATTATGTCAATCATCCACTTACACCATTGAGTACGAAATCATTAGGACAGCAAGGAACGGT